ATTTCTCATTTGTCTCATACACAGCTAACCATAAGCATAAAACTGCACATATTTTTAAATGTATTGTATTTGTTGCCATGATGTTTTTTTATTATGTTTGTTATGACATTTTTGTCAGTCAGCAATTCTTTTTTTTCACCTGCTCTGTATATTTAAAGGTGTGGATCACTGAAATAACATGTTTTAAACATTATTTCTGAATATAATCAGTAGGGCTGCACGATATTAGGAAAACCTGCGATATTCGATAACGGTGATTAATATTGCGATGATTGATGATATTACTTGCGATAATAAAAACTTAACTCAGGAACTAAAAACAAAGAAATATAAAAAGTTATAAAAATGAGATAAGAAAAACGTGAAAAAGAAAGGGGAAAGAAAATAAACAAGAAAAAGCAATCAGTGGATCCCGGGAAAAGCAGAATCAGCAGAAAGAGCAGAACTAAGCTAACTCAGGTGTTTGCTAACCATCAAAATTAAGGGCCGTCCGCCTTGGGGGCGGGACTCCAACCTATGAGAACCCACCCAATTAGCCAAATGGGTGAAGAGCTCTATTTGATTTGTTAAGAAAAACGTAATTCTTTCGTTTGATTGACAGAATGCATAATGTGTAGCAAACATTTGAGCTGGCCATTCATTACGATATTTATCTGTTCTTTGCGATATGCATATTGTGCATGCTGATATCACGATTACGATATATTGTGCAGCCCTAATAATCAGTCACTATAAGTTTTTCATGCAGGCTGAACATGAACATAGTCTCCCACACCTGCATTAGCTTCTGATAGAAAATAGATGGTGAAACTCTAGGATTAGAAAAGCCTGAGATCTACGTCACACTGTCACTTAAAATTCATGGACTCTCCCATCTTCACTCACAATGGGGAAGACTGTTGGTTTAGCATCCAGGAAACGGTGGAGAATGTCTTGGTGGGTACCGTTAGCATTAGCAACTCCACCACAAGCAGAACTCCTTCAGGCTTGTGTTATTTGTGGAGATAAAACATCAGCAGAGCAAACTGGCATTTGCATGGATGACAGATCATTTGCTGCTGTGACCCCCAGACTCTGGAACTCTCTTCCCCTGAGTCTGAGATCAGTGGACTCAGGGGTCTCTTTCAAAAACAGCTGAAAACTCACCTGTTCAAGCTGGCTTTTACTTGACCTTAGTCACCACCCTCTCCTTATTCTGCTCTTTCCCTATGTTGCATTTCTCGGGATTCACCGATTTCCCTGTTTCCTATTCATTTTATCTATCTTTTTTTTCTCATTTTAAACACATTTTTCAATCATTAAAAAGAACTGACATACCTGGTGCTGCAGTTTGCTTCCAGCACGTTTCCTGCATGTTTTAGATAATGAACCCAGCTGATTTGTTTAATTTAATGATGAACTGCTCCCATAGACACTAAGGAAGGCAGGGGAGATGTTTCAGCTGTTAGATTAAGATCCTTATTTATGATAATTCCATTCTCAGCTCATCCTTTTTATCTTCTACATCTGGGGCAAGATGAATGCACAACAAGGAGATAGGTTTCACTTTTGGTATGAGCACAGAAAATTAAACTGACAAGCAAAACGGCCAAGTAGTGTGTCTATGCGTGTACAGAACTTGCCTCCTGTTGGATGGAAAGTGCTTTAAAAATAAAGTTGAAGATGATCATATATTTTAATCTCCATATGACATGGACTGATATATCGAGCCTATATTTATCATTTTTGTATACGTCAGCATTGGCCAATATACCTTTTTAGTAGAGAGCCAGTGTAACATCAGGCATATCTGCGGGTAGCCCAGTGCTGCTGCAGAATTTAATTTACATTTATATTCCTAAATGACATCTGCATAAGTAATAGAATAAAACTTGTCCACCGTGGTGGAAAAAATTTATTCTTTCGGCTCTCAAGAACTAAAAAAAACATTCATGCATACAAACATTCTTGACACTATGTGCTCTGGTGGGTCTCATCGGTTACTTTGGTTAAGGATCAGTACAGCACTTGGTACAAATGATTTCATATATATATTTCTGGTTGCAAGAAGCGCACTAAAACCCCTTCCCGAACTCAAGGGTTCAAACTGACGGAAGAGAGGATGACTGCTGTCTGCTACAATGGCTCCTCTCAGTGTTCCTCACCCTTTCAGAAGCCAACTGGGAGATAGTTTTCTGTGGTCTGCCAACTGTTTTGTCTTCCTATGAGACAATTCGTAGGAGTTTGGCCTTGGATTTGCAGTTCACATGACCAGACCAGGCTGGGTTGAGTTGACGGAATGCTCTCCACAGTTGCAAACAAACTCTAGAGTTTGCTGATTGACATCTAGACTTCTGAGCTTTCTCAAATGCTTTCTGTGAGCATTTCTTACAGATGTAAACATTATCACTTCCTTTTATTTACCTGTTTTGATACTTGCATGTATATATACAGTTTTATCGTTTGATTAACTTTAGTTATACTAATAAGAATACTGAGCAGTGCACAAAATTAAGATTCAACAGTTGGTTCAAATCAGAGTTCAAAAAAAGAGTTGAGTTCAGAAAAGTTTGCTATGCCTGCTAGACTCGCCCTCTGTCTATTCTACACAGAGGACAAGTCTGGATACTCGGAGGCAGAGAGCACCAAGAGAGGTGGGACTAACCAGCTCAAAAATAACCAATCAGAAAAAAGGTGGAAATGATGACTGTATCACACTGTAGTTTTTTAGCTTTAGTCAAAGATGGCGACAGCGCAAGCATCTTTCTTTAAAAGAAAGGCTTTTAGCAGTTCTTGTTTTGGTTTTAAAGACAAGTCCAAGTCATTTAGAACAGAGGAAAAAGCCACAGCGAACTCCGCTTCAGACGTCATCTTCGTTGTTTATGAGAAACTGAGCGTTGCGGTGTGTGACGTACGTTCAACGCTGATTGACTCGGTTAGAATTCTCAGGGGGTGGGGTTATTTGAAGGGGAGTGTTACCAGGCCCTTTGCTTCCCATAAGGAAGCATTGACATGGCTGGCCAGGTTACATAAATGTTGTGCTCCCACTGTTGTTACTTACCAGGGATATTTCAGTTGTGGTGGAAAATATTAGCCGTGAAAATTGGCCCAAAAATCAGCAGAACGTATCAGTCATCAGCTGACCGTGACCTCTACATATCATAATTATTTTCTTTTTTCTTATTTAACACAGTAAAGTAAATAGATGTTTCTTTTCCTTCGGCTGACATGTTTCGGGTGGAAGGTTGACGAAGGCGGGCTTTCCGGCTGAAACATGTCGGCCGAAGGTAAAGAAATATCTAATTACTTCACTGTGTTAAATAAGAAAAAGAAGATCATTATGGATCAACACACAGAACAAAAATACAGAAGAGCTCTACAGATCAGTATCAGCAATAGGAAAACCCATATCGGTCAGTTTCTAAACTATTTGGAACCAAAGAACATTAATGTAGTAATGTGTTACACTGATGTTTTCATTGTCCATTCCAATTCAATTCAATTCAAGTTTATTTATATAGCGCCAAATCACGACAAGAGTCGTCTCAAGGCACTTCACATAATAAACATTCCAATTCACAGTTCATTAAGCCAATCAGAAATAATGTTTCCTATATAAGGAACCCAGCAAATTGCATCAAGTCACTGACTAGTGTCAGTGACTATACAGCAATCCTCATACTAAGCAAGCATGCAGCGACAGTGGAGAGGAAAACTCCCTTTTAACAGGAAGAAACCTCCAGAGAATCCTGGCTCAGTATAAGCAGCCATCCTCCACGGCTCCAGAGTCCAGGGGCCTCATTTATCAAGCTTGCTTACGCACAAAACGGGTTCGGAAAACTGTGTAAGCAACTTTCCACGCAAACTTTGGGATTTATGGAAAAAAAACTTAGCGGAAAAATGTGCGCAACTTTAAGTTGACTAAGGACCTGGCTTATGCACATTTTGAACATGGAGAGCACCTGCAGTGCTGCTGCTGAGAAGGATAAATTATGAAGTCCTGCAGCATTATCACTTGTACTGCTTCGTTTTCACAAAGAACAAGACCCTCCCACACACGCGCACACACACACGCATGCGAGCATACAAAAACAGGCACGCACACGCGCGCACACACACACACAAACACACACCCTGAAGCGCAGAATACAGAATGCAGATTATCAGCAGGGGGACAGGTTGAGACAGAATGTCATGCGTCTGTGACAGTGTGTCCTGTCACTGTGACTTGATTGATCATGCGTCCTGGCTACTTGGACAAGGGAGATCTCCGTTTGGGTGACTGGTTAGTGCTCATGACTTTCACCCAGGAGTCTGGGGATTGAATCCCGATTGGACCATTTTTTTTATATCCGCCACAGATCTCTGAAGAATTCACAACATTGACGGCTTCAGCAACGCTGTGCCACTCCGTGGATTTTCTCTTATTTGTTTTGCTAAAGCACTTCCTTTCATTTCTCCACCTCACCCACATGTACCTCAATTTCTGCTTCTGTGAAATTGCGCTTCCTCGATCTGCCTTGATCTACGGTCGCCATCGTCATTGGCTGCAACAGCCAGCTTATGTATATGCATGAGATTCACAAGGCACTTTGCATTGACTATTTATGGCAGAAAGTGGGTGTGGTGAGGGCGGGATGTGACTAAAAAGCAGCTGAGAACCTTTCTAGATAATTTCTGATTTATGAAGCGGAGATTGCGTGCAGCTGTGCGTCCTCCATGTTTGATAGATCACAAACCTACTTGGCATAAGTACTTTTTTTTGCTGAACTGAAGTACGGTTTTAGTAAGGATTCTAGGCAATGTTTGATAAACGAGACCCCAGTTGTGTAGATATGTGTAAAACTCAAATATCAGCCTCTGTGGTAAAACTTCACACTAGAGGTGGACAATGTTTTGTTAACTTATTTCTGTAGGATCCCATTTATTATTTTTGGAACTTTTGGGGCCTGTGTCACTTTTGTCCTTGTTTTATTTTATTTATTTGTGCAGGCATCACAATTTTCCTTGTTTTTGTTCAGCTCTCTTCCAGTTTGTCTCCACTGAGTCCAGGGAGTATGAAGACATGAAGACCATCCTAATCTCCAGCTACATTGACACCAACTCTTCTAGCTGTTTCATGTACAGCAACCCGCGTCTTGTTCACAGTGAGCTGCTGGAGAAGGAGGTGAAGAAGGAACTTATTCAGATGTGTTTTAGCTCTTTAGCTTTTCTTAGAAGCTCCCAAAGATGGTTTGTTTAGGAATGATTGATTGGAAAATTTGTCTGATTAACAAACTGTTTTATGTTTGTCAGTTTGTAGAAAAAAGGAAGGAGATGAAGGCTGATGGGAGAACAGAAAAGGAGCTGGAGGAGAGTTACTGTTTCTTGTTGACTACTTTGACCAATGTGAGTTTATGTTTTGGGTTCATCAATCTCTAACTCAATGTCTAATGATTACCTTGTGTTTCCATCTGTCTGCTGTAGCTTCCTGCTCTCTGTGAGAAGGGGCTGGTCGTGGGTCAGAGCAGGATCACCATGCTGGGAGACCCTGGGAAAGGTAGGAGCTATCTGATGATTTCAGCAAAACAAAATTTTGTTTTCACTGGTGATTCTTGTTGCGGTATTAGTGCGCAAAATGGATGTCATCTCGGAGAGAGTCACTGGACGGTACGGATAAGTTTAAAACCCAAAATTGGCTTCACTGAAGGACTGGAAATGATCAGTTTAAAGACTGAAGGCAGGGAGGAAAATTATCTCAGCCTGACCCAAACAAATTCTTGTTATCTGAATCTGACGCTCTGGTAGCCTTGAGCTGCAAGCAACTAAAACCCCCACGAAGGAATGCAGACAGATGCTGTGAAAACCCGACCCCCCCCCCCCCCCCCCCTTTCGGTTTGGTGTACTTCAGCCTGGCGAGGTCATCAGCTGGAGGAGTCAATGTGCTCTTCGCTTCTCCCAAGATCTCCCCCCCACCTGTGACTGTACAGTAGATGAGCGCCTTAGATGGCTGCTCTCGCTGGGGGGAACAGGATCCCAGCCCCCCGCCTTCCTATTGGAGTCTCATGTTGTGAACTGTTGATGTTCGTGCTTATATGTTTGAGGTGTTTTTTTTGCATAGCAAAGCTACGCCCTGTCGGGAGCATCGACATAATATACGTGGACATCTTCTTTTCATAGGCTCCAATATCACTTTTTTGAGGCCAAATGGGAGGTGGCCACCACCGCCATTTTGACCGTGTCACAGGTACCGTCAAGCCCAGACAATTCCACAAAAGGGAAGAGAGGAGGAGCTGAGGGTGGGGCTGTAAGGCTGGGATCAACTGACGACACCTGGTCGAACTAGCTACAAGCTAACCCAAAGCTAACGCGGAGGTGGGAGCTAAGCTAACGGAGGTAGCAACCTAGCTACAACTGGAGTTAACTGTGCACAACACCAAAGCTTCTGAGTCAGAGATACGCCGGGCTGACCTCTGGGTAAAACCGGGTGGAACATAGAGGTCTCCGAGACCTCCACAAGCTGGCAGCCACACAGCAGACAAGCGCCGCTGCGATCTGAGATGCGCAGAGCTGCCGCTGGGGAGAACCAGGTGGAAAGGTTTCCATCCCAGAGCTCCACAAGCCGGCAACCCGCGCAGCAGACAGAAGCCACGATCAGACAGAGATGCACCGAGCTGTAGGGAGACCCAGCCGGCAGCCCAGCGCATCAAACAGAAGCCGCGATCAGACAGAGATGTGCCGAGCTGCAGGGAGAAACAGCCGGCATTCCGCGCAGCAAACAAAAGCCGCAAAGCCAGGGGAGAACCGGGTGGAAAACAGAGGTCTCCCGAGAGCTCCACAAGCCGATAGTCGGAACCCAGCTCCACCAACATGTTATATTTCAACCCATTTTCTAAAGTGCAGCATTATGTTAAATGCACTGGGTTTTACCCTATTACATTTAAATTTCATGGTTAAATAGTACATGTTAAAATCTAAGCTCAGCTCGGCAGTGACCTAAAATACATAAATATAATTTTACTTACCGAAAAAAATGAAGTGGAGACTCCTTGGACGCCAACTTGTTTTGGGGCCTGACAGAGATAATTTCCTCTCTGTCTTAAAGTTCCATTGGTCCTCAGCCCCTCTGAATCCAATAATGGCCTAATTAATCCATTCCAATCCGCGCTGACCCGTCAACTTTCTCCTTGATGGAATCCACCTTCTGTGCCAGAGTCTGAATCTCAGCCAAAGTTCCATGCTTACAACTCATCTCAACAATTATATGAGTCTGTGCGTTTACAGCGCGGTGTAATCCATCCCTGAACTCCGGAAGCGAGCCAATATTCCTCGACAGCTTGTTAATTTTCCGGTAAGCCAGGTAACCTCCCAGGCCAAAAAGCAGGAAACCTGACACCAACACCACGAATATCCAGACATCTTCAGAATCCTCTACAGACAGCTGAGACAGACATACCAAGTTCCACTGTTTCCAGGAGTCCATGATATGCCCAACTGGCTCTGTCCCAGAGGGGCACCGGGGATCCCCTTCTCCCGTTCTCATTGTTGAAAATTTTTTGTCAATCGCGTTGAGAGGCCAACTGACCAGGTCCATTTTAGTCATTTCAGTTTCCAGTTTTCCAGAAAAAATGCAGAAGCGCCGTACACCCAGAGACAGACAAAGCCTTGGGATAAGATAGGGAGGAGAGGAGGAAAAAAGCATCTGTACTCTCCAAGAGCCGGAAGAAGAAAACATAGGGCATATTGTGGGCATACACGTCCTCATAGCTGGAGTTCCTTTTAAGTAATATATTTTCTTAAACCTTATATAGTCTCTTTCTTTCTTTTTTCCAGCATAGTGGGTTCTGCTGAAACCCAGCTGTGACTGTCTGTGCTGTTTGATCATTTATGTTGTAGCACAGTGTAGATCCAGTGTGAAGGGGGCCCAAAGTCACTTCTAGGTTGGGATGCGGTCTCAGACCTTGTTTTTATTACAGGTGTGTATCTTTCACGGTACTGTGACCTTCTACAGATGAATGCCTTCACACCTGGAACAGAAGGAGAGATCATTATATTCAAAGTGATGAAGGTAAATCAACTATCAGGTGGTCATCATCACCAGGTACTCTTTCAGCTGTTCTGTTGAAGCAAGGAAACAGGAAACAGTAATGTGCAGATTTTGAGGCAGAAAACATTTATGTTAAGGGAGAAGAAAAGACCCAAGTATTTGTATGTGGTTTCAGGGAAAAGTCAAGAGCTTTTATGAAAACATGAAGACTGTTCAAGATCCGACGCCTCGCTTCGACAGCCACATTGCCAAAAACGCCAGCAACGTCACCTCGCTCACTCACTTCCGCGCCTTTGAACTCACACAGGTGAGCTCATTTATACACAACAGTTATGCTTGGTGCTTAAACGGATGTCAGGCATCAAACCCTAACTCAGTTCATCACCATGGTAATGTTGGTAGTCATATAAAATGTTTTCAGATTAAAAAGGTTGTGCTGTAATGTCCTCTTTATATATATATTTTATGATTTTTTTTTTTGTCCTAGCAATATTTTTATGAGTACTCATTCGACGAGCTGCGTCCACGTCCACGGCAGGTGTGCCCGTACGCCGTTGTCTCCTTCCACTTCAAAGGAAAAGACGCTTCACTTCCCAGCAAACCTGCTGCACCCATCAGGTACAAGCACATGAAGGATTCAATTAAAACTTTACATAAATGGATCAAGTGCAAAACAAAACGGGTTTGCCAGAATAATCTGGAGATTATAATTGTTTAACCCTTTAAGCATAAAAGTCGCAATATTGCGACAAGCGTCATTACTGACTTTAACAAGCCACGGTTACAAATTTTAAACAATTAAACTCTCAAAAGAAATGGTTCAGAAAGGAAATTAAAATGTTCACAGCTTTGTGTGTGATTTATTATTATAATTATAATTATTTATTGTGGCAGAAGCTGATGTGGTCCACCACAGAGAAAGCTGCTCTAGCATGATGACTTTAATTATTCTACAGGTTATTGTTCAGCCTTCTCACGCTCACACACACACACACACACACACACACACACACACACACACACACACACACACACGAGTGTTGGTGAGCGGCTAAGTCTGACTGCTGACGCTCTGTGTGTGTTTTTATTTCTGCAGTGAGACAAACTCACCTCACACCGTCCAGAGTTTGTTCTTTAAAGCTTCTATTAAATCCACCATGTTGACGTATTTAACACGTTTCCTCTATGCTGCAGGAGTTAAAGTTTACATTACGGAGTAAAAGTTTGGCAGACGCGTTTGTTTATATTTGGCCGCTGCGGGCCGGGTGGGGGGAAGGTGGACTCGGTGCTGCACACAGACAGCTGGTGTGATCCACTCTGATCACAATTTGCAGATTACATTTATTTATCACGGAGATCAGCCGCGGATTCCTCTTCCGGTCGGCATTCTAGGAATCGAAATAAAAAACTTTGATCGATTCCGGGAAAAACTAACAGTTGGTCCCGGTTCCAGTCGACGCTTGATGCCCAACCCAAATTCCAATACGGCAGCCTGATGATGTCATGATATGCACATTAGATGAGTGAATTTGCTCCCAACACAAACTTTGGGCCCTACTGAAGATTTTTTTATTTACAGTTTATCTTTATCTCTAACCGTTTCCAAGCTACAACCTTTTGAAATGGTCATGTCAAAATTGAATATTTTCTTGAACTCTGCCGCCCAAAGGGTTATGATAATCTCATCTGTTTACAGGTGGGAGGTGGATGTTTTTCTAGTTTGGTTTGGCTTAAATGCAATTCCTGTTGGCTTTAATTCTACCACAGAAATAATTCACTAAAGGAATCTGAAAAACAAGCTTGACAAGTCATTTTCAGGGGACTTTTAAGTTGGTTTTGGCAAAAAATGAAAGAGTCCTTATTTGTATTATGGGTAAAATAATACGAAAGAGATGCAAGTAACTTCTAACTAAGATCTATGTGAGTTAACTAGCTGTTATAAACATAATTTAGCAGAAAAAATCTCTTTAGTTTATTACATTTTCTGGTTTCTTGTATGTTTTTCTTCCTCTGAGATTTCTTTATTAATGGTTGGTAAAAATATGAATCAAAAGGAGATCTGACTGTTTACAACTGTTTGGTTCAAAGGAAATGTGTATCTTTATTCTTGCATAGACAGTTTAAAAAGCCTATCCACATTAGCATTGTGTTGACACTTCATCTGGGATCTGATCTCCTGGTTTGCAGGTCGATCAGTCAGCTGTCTGACAGGAGTAAAGGTGAGCAATCTTAACCTTTCTCTGTTAATCCCAAAACTTCCAAATAACAACTGCTTAGAATGAATGAATAAAGGTCTGACTTTTGGTTAGCTAGTGATACTGAGGGTTTTTGTTCTTTTTTCAGAGACTGGTTCTTTCACGGTTTGGACGGGAGATATAGTAAAAAGAAAGCTGGTTCTTTTTCCGGCCGCTCTTCTATCCAGCTTGATCCCCTTTCTGCCTCACAGACTGTGAGTAGTGTTTAAGATCATTAGAGTCTTTAATTAGCAGTAAGCATCAGGACAAGAGTCAGACTTTGTTCCTATTAGAATTAGTCATCTAAAGTTTTTCTAGCTACTAACTTTTAAACGATTTTCTGTGTTTCTCCTTCAGACCAGAGAAGTTGGATGTGGGGAACTTGATGAGGTTTGATCAGTTGACCAAGCTGATGCCCTCTGGTCTGCTCTCCTATGACTTGTACAGCAGCAGCAAAGAAGGTGAGGTCACATTTATTCTCTAGCTTTAAAAATATAGAAATATCTAGTAGTTTTGGGCTTCCCGTATGTTATCATCATCATTCCTGTTGGAACTAAAGTTGTGTTTCTGTGTGTTCAGTCGTTGCTGATGGCTGTTACTGCAGTCTGCTGGAGGTGGTTGATAGAAGTTGCTCTTCAGTGAACATGACCAAGCTGCTTCTGCAGCTGGAGAGAAAGAGAGTGGTAGGTTCCTCAAACTTGACCTTCTTCTAACTTTAAAATCAATCCGCTTCTCCTGATCAGTCTTCATATTTTTGGAGATTTCCCATCTCCCTCAGTTTAAATCGGTCAGTAACGAAGGCTAGACCCAATTCTTCTCATTTCTGCTGATAATTCATGACATCGACTTAAGAATGATCTGAATTTTATCATGAACAAGGCTGTTATTAATTTTAATTAGAATCTGAGATTGTATTCATCTAATCCGATGTTACAGGCGCCATGTTGGACTTTGCTACTCCTTACAGATTTGTCTATATAAATGACTTTTTCTCCTGTTTTTATTGTTTTCTCTGTCAGGTTCTGGTACGCCCTCTCTCAGAACAAGGTTTCTTCTTCCTGCTGTCCAGTGTTCAGATGACCTCACTGTCCGGTAAGTTACGGGGGGAGAGAAACTTCAGGATCATGTGTTAATTGCTGTTGAACACGTAAAACAACAGTGACGCCGATGTTTGTGTTTTCAGAGAGCGGAGAGTCCAGGAAGAGGTGCCTTCAGGCCTTATTTGTGTTCCGAGAACCCAGAGACGTGTCCGGATTTGGTGAGGAAAGTTTAGACGCGTCGGTGGTTTTTTGAGTCAAATCCACGAACGTGAAAGCTGATGTCTGATTTAAGCTGGTAGACTAACATGTTAAAGTGGTCATTAGAGGGAGGGACAAAAGTCTCTGCAGGTGATTTTATCTTTTTATTTTATTCTGCTGTAAACGTGAACTAAGCTTGCAATTTTTTCTACGAAACTTTATTAAAAACTGTTCATTTTAAGGTAAGTTTGTAATAACTTTGTGTTTATAAATTAGGTCTAAGGAGGATGAGAAGGGGAATATTTAAAACAGACTGAATCTTTGATTTATTACTGTTTTCATAATCCAACGGCTTATTTCTTCTTCAGCATCCCATTGTACCTCCTATTCCCATGAGCCACAAATGTCCAATGTCTCAGTGATGCCTCGGCTGAAAGAGTTTATTCCAGCTTTGCACCACGCTCTGATTAAAGCTCGAGCCAACCCCCCTTCTAACCTCTCTGCTGGTGTGGAGCTGCAGACGCGGGAATACCTCAGTAGCTTGAGCGATGGCAGCGTATGACCAATATCTCACACTCGCCCGTTTCCTGTGTTGCTGCAGAACGATCTGCAACACATCCTTCTGTTGTTGCCCTGCAGGCCCGACAGTACTCCATGACAGAGTACGATGCCAAAGTAGACGAAGAGGGCAAACTGCATCCTCCTCCCAAACACCATCGTGTTAACATGGACAGCTACATGAAGTCCTACCTGTCCAACCCCGCCCTCTACCTGCTGCCGGTGGCCCGTGCCGAACAGGTGGTGAATTCTGTGTGTGGCCCCGAGCAGCGACAGGAGACGGCGGCTAACAGCATAGCAGGATGCACCAATGATAGAAAGGTGAGAACTGGAACGATTTATTTCCACAAGTAACTCAGTGTTTCTTACGTGAGGCCAGAGTAACCAACCAATCCATAAGAATTATATTTGAGATGTTCAGCTCTGAAAAAACTAATTGTTTGGTTTAAATTTAGGAGCATTATTTAAAAAATAATCTAAAATTAGATAAATGTTGTTTCTTCAAATCAGCACCAGTTTTTGCCAGAATGTCTACCAAACCCACATTGTTGTATCAGCTGAACAACTTCTGGTTAAACTAATGACTGTATACAGAAGAAGGATGAACCTTCTGCACCGTCACCTGTAGGTTTCTGAAGAGCTGAATGGAAGCCCAGTGGGTGGTTCCCATCACTGCCATCTTGGCCATGTCACACATTTAGTCACTTCCAGAAAATACAAAAATGGAGCTGAGAGGGAGGCTATGAAGGTGGAAGCAGATGATTGACACCCCTCACTTTCTGAGCTGATGTAGCTCTGAGTTAACTGAGCTAAAAGCTAGTGGAGGTTGGCGGGCACTTTTAGCCAAAAAATCTCCATTGAGCAACTCTGCGACCCTCTGTCTTCTACGCTGTAACAGTTTTAACGTGAGGATGATGCTGAGACCTTCCTGGAGCGGGAAGACGATCTAGCGCTGATGGCTGAATGGCACATCGCCACGCCTGAACCTATGTAGGGGAAACACTGGTCTTATTCTGTCCTGCTCTCAACTTGAGACGGTTGTCCACACCTTCATCTCCTCATGCTTAGACTACTACAACTCGCTTTTCATTTGTCTGAGCAAAACCTCTCTGAACCGTCTACAGGGGGTTCAGAATGCCTGTGCTCGGCTTCTGACCAAGTCCTCCAAATACACCCACATCACACCGCTTCTCCTCCAGCTTTGTTGGCTGCCAGTCAACTTCAGGGTTAATTTCAAGATCCTGGTTCTGGTCTATAGGGCCTTACATGGACAAGCACCATCATACGTTGGTGATCTTCTCAGTCCCTACACCCCCAGCAGGTCCCTGAGGTCCAGTGACCAAAGCCTTTTAACATGAGAGTCAATCAAAACTTGCTCTTTTCTGAAGCCAGCCCCTAGTGAATGGGAAGGGAACTGCAATGTTTGTCTCTTCTGCATTCTGGTAAAGGCAAAGTTTTCCCCTTGGGTTAAACACTTTGCTGATAAAATCAAGGACGGGACATGAGGAAAAAAGATGCTGCTGCTAAGATGCATGAGTTTGTTTACCATCTGGCATGTTGACAAAACACGTGTCACTTGGCTTTTAAGTTTGGTCCACCAAACATTTACCCTGCTGCAGGATCTCTATCTGAACCAGAACTTTTTACGTATTGAAGTCTTGTGTTTGTTTTCAGATACAGCAGCTTTTGGACATGTTTTGGACCTGTAAGAGGAATGCTGAATTAGAGGTGAGGAGGGAAGGAGGTGAGGCTTTGAAGGTACCAGGAAGGAAGAGGAAGATGGAACAGGAGACGGCAGAAAGAGCACTGAAATATTTTAAAAAATCACAGGAAACCGGAAGACATGAAAAGATTCCAGGTGAGGAGACATGAATGTTGCATCGATTTGTTCAGAGAGCTGGACCTTGTGGGTTTAAAGAGGGACCGGACACCATCAGAAAATGTAACTCCACCCCTAGGCAAGATTTGAAAAATGCTATGAAAGTGGGCGTTGCCAGGAGGCACAGAGTGGCATGGCCAAGTGTGGAGAATTTCCATCCCTGGAGGGAGTGGGAGGAGACTGTACCGATGACGTGAAATTGTTCCATCCCCAGTCAGTCACTAATTTAAAATGCAGTAGCTGCTGTTCTGCCACAGGGGGCAGCACTAAGACGTTTCGAGACCTCGATTCTAGATTTAATCAAGTTTACGTAAACATGTCAAAAAATGCACAGAAACAGAAAGATTGGGTTGTAAAAACCCAGTTATACCACTTATAAGCAAAAAAAAATGTTATTTTGGGGTTTAGTTGCTCTTTGAGCATCTCTATCTGAAATTAGCTTTTCACCTAATTTCATCAAGGATTTGTCTCACAAAGTGCAGTACACCTTAAAACAAAAGTGGGATTTTCAGAGATCAAATGTCTCGTTCCTTGGCAGATTTTTTCTGTGTTTTGCTGCCATTTTAAAAAATAGCTCTACCTGTACTTTTCCTGTGTGCTGTTCAAAAAAGACAGCGCTAAAGTAAAAGCTAGGTCATAAATGGGCTAACAGTGAGGTGAAGGAGGAGTCAGTGTTGGACACTTGCTTGATTCCTGCTCCAAACACTGCCACCAGCTGGTTTGGGGTGAAACGGGTTGAGCCGCAGCACGACTGTTTGATGCGCAGAAACACTCATCGTGTAGACTGAAAGGCTTCTGAGTCTACACAAAGGAAACCCCTCAACAGTGTTTGTACATTTTTTGATTCTTTTTCTTATTTTCTTTCTGGTTCTGATTTCTAGATGGAGAAAACAGAGTCCCTTCTTCTCCTTTCTCTTTTAAATCTCTGATCGACATTTTGGGCTTGAAGGATCTGAGGGAAGAAAAATCTGAACTTTTGGAGAAATTTACGAGGCAGCTGAAAGGTGACTGAATACAGGAACTGTTGTGTTAACACTTTCAGCCTCTTCCTGTCTCAGAGCTCTGCAGTAGTAGTTTAGAGTCGTATTTCAGTAAAAGCACATCTAAAGCAGAAGTAATGAGTTTTTCTCTCTTTTCAACTACAGGTCTGATCAAAGTAGCCAATCAGAGCTTTAGTGCACAACAAGAGGAAGAGCTGAAGGATTCTAGTCCATTTGGTGTTTTGGCCACAAAGCTGGGTCTGCCCGCTAACTGTGACATCGATCTGAGGAAGCAGGAGGAGCTGGAGGTTGCATCTATTTTAGGATTTTCTGTTTGTTTATTTTATTTTATTTTATTTTATTTACAGAAAATAGGTTACAGGCTCCCTGTTGCTCAATCTAACATCCTGTAAAAAAAGTCTTATTTTCAGTGCTTTTTTGGGTAGTGGAGCACTTCTTCGTAAAACATTGGACTTAAATCTAATTATATTCAAGTTTTTGTAAAATCAATAATCTAACACAGGAGATCCAGTTAGTCGCACATTTTAATTTTAGTGATGGAGGAACAAAAAAAACAACATTTGGATGAACTGTAAATGTAACATTTGTGTGTCTGTAGGACCAGACGGGAGGCAGCATCAGTAGTTTGGAGGGATTTAGTCCCAGTTCGCACAGCGGGGAGATGAATTACCATGGGGCAGCGGGTAGGGGAGGAGGATGGTTTGGGAGGAAGGCAGGAGCTAATGAGGAGAAGCAAGAATGGGAGATCCCATGGGTCCTTATCCCCATCACAGGTTTGCCTGCCTAATTATCCATCTGCACATCAAGATGTAAACATTTGTGTAAAGGTAAAATTTAAAGTGATGTTTGTATATTTTGCAGAATTTCATGTTATCTTTAGTTAAATGTTTTCTCATGTAGTGAAAATAAAACTTTTCTTGTTTGGTGCATTTGGAGCAGATAAGCTGTCACAGGTGTGGTCACGATAAAAACCGAGTCTTACTGTTTGCAGGTCTGTCTTTAGAGAGATATTCTCAGGGTGGCCAGAACATCCCCATGGACCCCCGTTTCCAGCACCTCACCATGGCAACAAGTATCACCACAACAACTAAACCTGCCAGAAAGAGCCCCACCATGTCTCCTGAGCACAGTTCTCATCACCTTGTCACCCGGTACCCAAGCCCCATTCCTAGCCCGACTGCTTCATCCCCACAGTATCCGTCCCCCGACCCCAGCCCTCCTACTTCACCCTTTCAGTGTCCATCTCCTGACCCCAGTCCTACTTCACCTTCACAGTGTCCATCACCTGACGACAGCCCTCCTACTTCACCCTCACAGTGTCCATCTCCTGACCCCAGCCCTCCCCCATCTCCCTCTGAGTGCCCGTCTCCAGTGCCCAGTCCTGCTAGCTCTTCTGCCCAGTCCCTATCACCTGTAATTATCCCCCATCAAACATCCTCTCAATGTCACTCCCTGGAGCTTAATAAGCTCAGCTCAGTGGAGAGTAACCACAGTGGTGCTAATGAGCCTCCGTCACCCCTCACAGGCCCCAAGGAGTTTCCAGGTAATGTCATTTAAACTTAGATGACTGTTTTTTTTTTCATCACAAATTATTTTCTGCAGAATTCTACCTGTCACACAGAACAACACTCAGCATTGAAGTTTTCTAAATAACATTTAATAGATGTAATTATTTATAACTTTTCTGTTTTCTAAAGGAGAGTCTAGTGAGAAAGAAGAGAAACATCAGGGCAAGGAAATCACCGAAGAGTTGTCTATTCTCTCTTTCATGGACTCATCTGGTGGTCCTGCTTCAGAGTTGAGGATTAAAGCTTCACAATCTCCCAATGAGCAGGTAGAAGGAAACAGTGGAAAAAGTTCAGAAATCTGGCCAGGTGAGGAGGAGAAGAAACAAAGAGATGAAGAGGCTGATCGGTGTTTGGACATTAAGAGTGAGGAGGAGGAAATGATCATAGAGGTAGCTAATGAACACAGGGAGAAGGGAGACATGCTGGAATCAGAAGGTGGCTCTACACCTCCCCTCTCTGTCTCATCAAACACAGCTTGTCCTCTTAGAGATATTGACATCCTGGTGGACAAACATCTGGAAGACTTTACCTCTGACCTACAGCTCCTCCTGCAGGAGGAGAGTGGTATCTCCAGCTTCCCTCAGCTCTCTCACACTCCTTTAAACACAGAAGCCTCCACTTCTCAGTGCACGCTCTCATACACATTATTGCCTCCATTCTCACACTACGTGTCTTTTTTCAACCCCTGCCCCCCAGTTCAGGACTATGTGAACGCACTAAAGGACAGCATCACATGCATGCTGACAAAGCCCGATGAAAGTAGGCCAGGGCACGAGGCCGATCCCGACCGGACTGATGCTGATGCCTCATTGGCTAAAACCATCAGTGATTTTGTTTCTAGCTTCAGAGTGGCTAGTGATGTCGCAGGAAGAAACAGTGAGGAGTTTCCTGCTGCTAATGTTGAGCCACCCATCAGTGAGGTTCCGCTGCTCTCCAGAGAAGACAGAGTCTGGCAGACAGACGAGACAAACTGGAGGAGTTCCCCGTCTCCTCAGCTCTCTTCATCTTATCAAAACACCTACAAACCTGAAACCTCTTCAGAGATCAGCAGGACAATCACTCAGAATATAGAAGAAGCACAAGATAACAGTGCGATCAGGACCGTCGTCTGCTCTGCTGAAAGGGAGCGTGAAGGGAGTTCAGCTGGATTAAACTGCATTGTAATGGTTCCGGGTTACAGCCGTGCATCTGACACATCAGCAGAACCCCCCCTCTCTGAGCCAGCATCCAGCCCAAGCCCTGTTCCATCAACCACACACCTGAGCTCCATTATCCACCAGCTGAACCCAGATGTGTTGAACAAACTGGTGGAGATCGCCAAAGACATTAAACGAAAGTCCCTTCAGTTCTACGTCCACTGTACAGAGGCAGGAGACCTGGTCTGTGAAGAGGTCAAGGTAAATACAGATTAACCTTTAACAGATGGGATGTTTAGTGAGACACCTCAGGACTTCCTGATCTGTGTGCTGTTGTGTTGCAGGAGCACATTCTGAATTTGGGTAACGTGCAGCAGAGTCCTGTTGACTTTCTACACCAGGAAAACTCTGAAAATGGGCTCCTGGTTATTATTAAGAACAAAGACATTGCTGGACATGTACACGAGGTACTTCACTGTTAGTGATGCTGCTGTAGACAAATTTGAGATCAGGTCTGACTGTTTGAAATGTTTCTGCTCACCAGATCCCCGGCCTCACAGCTTTGAAACGACACTCCTCTGTAATGTTTGTGGGCATTGATTCTCTGGACGACATAAGAAACGACAGCTGCATTGAGCTTTTTGTTTCTGGAGGCCTCATCATCTCAGATGAGTTGATCTTCAGTTCAGATGTCTTCACTCATGGTAGCTCACAGATCAAAAACCTGCTTTTTCAAATTAGAAATAGGATAATTTTGTTTTTTGGCCCACTGAGTTAGAGCTCTTTATGTTTGTTACCATGCAGATAGACTCTCTGCGTTGCTGAGGCTCCTGGAGCAGCACAGTTCTCTTGAGAGTGTTTGGAAGTGGCTAATCCACTGCAAAACACAGAAGAAACTGAAAAAACAAGCCAGGTAGTGAATCTCTGATTAACACCTTAAACACAGGATAGATGGATTTAATGATCATTTTTGTTTGCAGTAGAGATTTTGGAATGTTATTTGCTTGTGTTTCAGGTTCAGCAGCCATGCAGCTAACATTCTAGATTTGCTGACAACATATCAGAAGCGTCAGATCATTGAGTTCCTCCCATATCATCACTGTGACATGACGGACCATCAGTCATGCAACCTCGACTGTTTCATCGAGCTGCAGGCTCGATACACGCAGTTCCGACACACCATCTACCTCACTGGTATGCACCTGTCAGCAGCGCCGCCAAAATCTTTGCTATTAACATTGTTTTATTAAACTTTTGTTTTTAAATCAGGGCACCCTTTAGAGATGTTACCTACTTACTCCAGTAAAGGCATCATTGTGACCAGTGTTGAGGAAATTCTGCAGAACTTCAGCAGCCTGGTTGGATGCCAAAGTGTCAGAGACAAGCAGTTATTTGTAGAAGATCTTCTCGCTCCCAAAGGTCGGTTCCAGCAGTTCAAAATGTTTCCCTTTTTCTGTTTAGACAGCAAAGATTGTGTTTAAAATCTACACAGCGGTTGTGTGCATTTGTGCTTTCATACAGTAGTACTAATATTCCATATTTGCTGTTCTTTTGTGTTCTCATTTGTCCTCAGGTCTCAGCAGGCCGCTGGTTCATCAGGACTCTGTCTCTAGCTACAAACGCTCTCCCTCCACCCTCCCTGAGCACATCCACCCCATCTCCTCCTCCAGCCTTCCTCTGGAGTTCCCTCCACAGCCAACCTCCACCCAGCTCTTTCTCCCCCAGCCGTCCAACGAGATTGTCCCAGACTCTTCTTGTAAGAACAGCCTGTCTCCGACCACCAGCAGAGACATGAAGTTCCTTCAGCAGGCCATCCAACAGCTCCGAGCACAGCGCCTGGAGCAGCAGCAGCAGCTAAAACTGGAGCAGCAGCGGCTTGAGATGCAGATGGAGTCAAGCGACTACCGCCTCCCCATTCGTGCTGAGTCAGAAACCCCTCATTTGGTCAATGAAGAACCCACAGAACCTGTCCATCTCATGGCTGGCAGGAAAACGATTGCAACCAACGTGGAGTCGGTCCTGCAACAACCTTCCACCGAGGGTCCCGGGAGACAAGGGAGTCCAGGAGGAGACGAGCTTGAGGAACAGAGAGAGAGTAACTTAGTCAGAGGGGTTCAGTTACATACAGAAAGTTGGATCTCAACTAAGAATGACTCATCTACCTACTTATCCAGTCAAACGTCTGGAGTCACAGAACCGAGTGATAAAACCGAACCGCCCCATGGCAGGAGTGCAGAGGAAATAGATCAACAAGCAGAACCTGAAACATTCACAGCAGAGGACGTCAGATCAAGGTGAGTCAGATAACCTAGAAGAGTTTTATGAGCTTCTAGATAAATCTCTCATCATCCTGAAATAGGGATCAAATATACACAGAATTACTGTAGCTTTAGACATATGCTATTAAACAACATTCAGTGTTTGTAAAGGCTCTAAAGCTTTTCTGATGTCTGGTTAGTGCTATCGATTTTGCTCCTCCAAAGGCTTGTACAAACAGGATTTATAAACACAAACTGGCATCAAAAGACCACACAAGTAATGAAAGTATCTAAATTCTTATTATCAAATGGTATTTTATCTGGTGTGACAAATTCTGTGAGAAGGTTGGTCCAATGAGTAATATGTATTGATTTATTTGATTTCCAATAGCGTATTTTACAGTTGTCACTGTGCAAGTGCTGCTGGGTGCTAATACTAGACAATCAAACCACGCTTACCAAGTGAACATACACAGACAGTGCATTTGGACAATGTTTATGCTCAAAAGTTACTCGTTACTCACAGTGCTCAAATAACTTATCTTATTTTTACTCTTAGGTCAGTATTTGTGTCACTACTTTTTATATACTCCCACTTCTCAGTGGCCTTGTGGTAGAGCGTCTGCCCTGGGACTGGGAGATCAGGGTTCAAATCCCAATCAGCCGGGTCATACCAAAGACTTGGGCTCCAATGCCTCCCTCCTTGACACTCAGTTTTAAGGGGTTTGATTGGGGGTTAAACCGTCAAATAGTTCTCAAGCACAGCTGCAGCTCACCGCTCCCCACGAGGATGGGTCAAATGCGAAGATGAATTTCACCAATGTGTGATGACTAATGGTTCTTTCTGGTCAAAAGCCTTTTTTGTCCATGTTTGGAAGCTGTCTGGCTGAGACATTTAGCTGGACTTCTTCATTTACATCGCTGCCTCTTGAGTAACTCCACATCTGAGAATTGATAAGATCGGCTCGTTAGTCTCGAACGTAGGAGCTTCTCCATCGGCAAAATGTATGAAACAAATGTACCCCATGATTTGCTCCACACTTTGGAAACCTGCTCTTCCACACAAATACTGCCACCGCTTTGCTTTGTCTGTCTTTAGCTTGACCCGTTTCCCTTTCTAGCTGTTTCATGTAGTCGTGGACCTTAACCGACTTTAGAAAATGGGTAATAAATGTCCCCTCCAACATCCTCGCCACACCTTCCTCCACTTATCCAGGTCCGGGTCATGGGGGCAGCATCCCAAGTAGGGCAGCCCAGGCAATCCTCTCCTTGGCCAAATCCGCCAGCTTCTCAGCTGGGACACTCAGGCCTTCCCTGGCCAACTTAAAGACGTATATTCTCCAGGCTGGCCTGGGTCGACCCGGGGGCCTAACGGAGGCATCCAGACCAGATGCCCGAACCATCTTAACTGGCTCCTTTCAATGCGGAGAAGCAACAGCTCCACTCCGAGTCCCTCCTGGATGTCCGAGCTCCTTGCCCTATCCCTAAGGCTGAGCCTGGCCACCCTGCGAAGGAAACTCGTTTCGGCCGCTGGGGTCACGGTTTTTTCAAATCCACAAAACATGTGGATTGATTGGGCAAACTCCAATGACCCCTCCATCACTCTAGCAAGGGTAAAGAGCGGTCCACAGTTCCACGACCAGGAGGAAAAACACATTGCTCCTACTCAATCTAGAGGGTATCTAGAGTTTAATTAACAACACCCCGAACAGCGGTGCTTGGTTCCTTCCTGTTAGAACATCTTTAGGAGACGAAACTACAACTTTGAGGCGAGTAGAGCAACTCAGACCCATAGGTACCCATGCAAAATATGCGCTTGCTTGTCTAGGGCTACATCCCACAATGCAGTGTGACATTGTATCCCAATCTATTGTTAGCTACTGTAGAAAACACTATTTAGAATGATTGCTTTCTTTGTGATGGAGAAACAAATTGGTTTTATGTGGTTATTTGGAAGATGATCTACTTGTGTAAGATTGCCTATTAAACAAACTATGAACCCTACAGCTCAAAACAAATTATGATAGTTCCGTTACAGCTTTCCAACCCATAATCATCTTTAGGGTGCATTGTAAAGTTTTGTGTCTATAATCCCATCTGAAACATTTTCCTTTGGGGACTTCTGGCCTACCTAAAGATTTTGTCTTTTGTAATGTTGTGAGGGCTATTTTGGGTTTTCTATTTTTCCATTAAGGGTTTGATTTAGTTGACTATTGATTTAAAACAGTTGTTGTAGGTGTAACGTCACGAAATGGACTGATTTGAAAGATCCCACAGGTCATATGCAGCCAGAGCAAATAACCCTGGCTGCTACATGTTCTGCTGTATCTTCCCTTGTCAGGAGTCTGTGAGTCTGCACAACTCAGATGACTTCATCAGCTGAGCACAGCTTCATCAGATAATAAAGATGAACAGTAGCATTCCTTTCCCCAAGGTTCCTTCACCAGAGAACTGTTTTAGATAAATCTTTATTCCCAGAAGAAAGACAATTTCATAGTTAATCATTTTATAATTTAAAATAATCATTGAAGAAAGAAGATTTTATGATTAAAAATCATGACTTATTGCCATGTATAATTAAGCAATGAAATGCTCAGGAATCCGTATTCAATGATGGTTTAGTAATTCTTGAGGTTCTGCCCTCATGAGAAAATTACTATGCAGTATTTTCTCCAAAAAACTGTCATCTGCGCCCTGAAGCAGACTATAAAAATCAGCGCCAGCAGGGACTTCATCTCCCATGATCCTCTGCAGCCGGCAGCAGCTTGATGACGTCACCAAAGCGACGCCGAACCTCGGAACCTACACAGTTTCCGTCCGCTGGATAGCCGAGCTATAAGAGCCGAAGCGCGGAGAGAAATTTCCTCTTTTGTCCAGGGTTCAACTGGTGTGAAGAGACACTCGTTTTGCTACCGCTCCGGACGCGTATGCGTGGAGCTACTGGAAGCAACGGAAACAACATCTGATCTGCTCAGCGCGAACACAAAAGGGATGCCTTGGGGTTCGCTCATGCAAGATTTTTCTTTTTTTCCTCTCTCTCTTTTTTTCTCGATTCTCTTATAGCCAAAAGAAGCGGTCGACCGCGTGACCGCTTCAAATTAACAGACGGTTTCTCTTTCTTCCGTACCAAAAACGCCATCGGACCGTCAAAGTAAGATCCTTTTTGTTATTGTTTAATATCGAAGTTTGTTCATGCTGTGGCCAGGCAGACAGACTGTTTTGATATTCAACTTGCCTTTATAACTGACTTGTTGTTTTTCCTTGAGCTTGGTGAAGTGAAGTGTTTGATTAAGTTACCGTGAATGTTAAGCCACTGACTGTATTTGAGAAGACAAGCTAAAACACACACACACACACACACGCGCACACACACACACCCACCCACCCACTGGTTTTCATGGTTTAGAAAGACAAGCTATATCCCACACACACATTCCACATGCACACACCCACGCGGTTCTTTGTTCAGCCAAACGAAGGATCCGCCATTTTGGTTTTTCCAAAACTCCCTCCATTTAGGGTAACCAACCTATCACTATCGAATTACATCATGTTACCCCACCTATCAGATTAGATTATCACGTCACATTATCATCTCATTGTTTCATTGCTTGTTATTAGTTTGATAAAATAAGTTGGTTGATGTTGATTGGCTAAACGCTTTGGGAGGAGCTGAAGTGATCATATTAGTTAGTAAATGTTATTGCCAATTAAGTTTTGTCTCAGGTGATTTGTTTGTGTGGTATAGAATTATGACTGCTGCTCGTTAAACGAATTTTACGAACTTCAGATAAGAGGTTTTGGATTCATTTTCCCCTATAAGAGGGGTGGTGCCCCAAGGCATATCCATGGATATCCTAATTACGTAATAAATCAGTAAATATTTCCATATTTACGAATTGTATTGATGAATCCAAAGAGTAAGTAAAGCTTACAAATTATTTGTTGGCTAATAATCACAACATAATATGGAGCCCTGTGCGTGAGGCGCGATACACAGCAGATTATTTTATACAACACAGACAAATCCTTTGGTTTCTGGTAGAGCTTGGATTGAAATAACCAGTGGTCAGCCTTGAACCAGCTGGTGGCAACAGATTGGTGCTGATTTCACTGAGCAGTGTTTTTGGCTCCCTCTCCTGATCGGCCTCGGTCAGGACAGAAAGTGGCCATCTTGTTTTTGTAAAACCTAGAAGCTGCATCAAGACTCTCACCAATAACTCAGTGCTTGTTTAAAGTGATAGAGACAACTAAACAGTTGATGCTAACAATTTAAACAACTAACACATTGTTTATATTATTTTATTTGTCTTTTCCCACTGTTTGTGTGCATGTGCAGTTATTCTGTCTAACCTTTTAGATTAGACCAAACTGTTATTTTTAGCAACTTTAACTCACAGTGGTTAATTAAAACTAACCAAAACCTTCAATCAAAGACTGATTACACAGTTGCTAATATTCTGAAGGAATAAATAGCACTTTAACACGGCAAGTGTTGTAAGACGTTGCTAGGGCAACGCACCGGTACAGCTGTTTGCTAAAATACTGAAGGGAATAGTATTATATGTGTTGGTCACAGCATTAGCCGTGCATTTTAAACACTAAAACCTGTGTGCACCAAAGAGGTTAATTTAGTGTTGTCGCTATCCGATAGCAGTTGCTGCCACGAAGTGCAGCTTTGAGCTACTGCAGAGCTTTGCTAGGCTAATTTGGTTTAGTTGTTGAAAATGGAGGGTCAGAGTAGTGAACTGATCAGCTCCCAGCAACCAGGTGGCGCTGCGGCCCACGACAAATATGAACCTGGCCTATTCTCTGGACAAATGCTGTCCAAACTGGTCAGAATCACCCGGGAATCCGACTACCCCGTCAGGGGCCTCACTGAAGAACAGCGTAGCAAGGAGCTCGACACTGTGATATATCAAATAGAGAACCCAGATGGTAAGGTGCCAGTCCAGGTTCCCTTGGCTAAGTTAGTCCTCCTCCTCCATCAGAGAGAAATTCAACGTGATCTGAAGATCATGGAACTCCAGAGTATG